AAATCCGATTCCGCTCAGCACCCCATTTGGTGCCCACACCGAGCCGAAGTTCACTTTTTAACGACTTGTTCTTGTCATCAGGGGGCTTAGAAAGACCCACCGTTGAGGAATCCTTTTTATTCCGTGTTAACGTGGTAAATTGATTTGTTTGGGCTCCAAAGCGCGAAAGACGATGTCTTGTCTGGTAGGAGAGTTGTTTGCTAACAATTCAGCGCAGAATGGGGAACAGAGGGAGTTTGGCTATTGAGGAGAACCTATCGGAGAGTGGATTTCCTCCTCCGGTGCCAGAACTTCCAGTACTTTGTACTCCTCTCTGGTGGTTGTTATTTATTGGTATGACTGATAATTTGTTATCGGCATCTGAGGTATGTTTAGACTGATATTCAGCGACTTCTTCATGAGGTTAGGGACTATGATTCACTCTGAGTTCATTTGATGTGGCACTTCTTTGACCCATTTAGTGGTGCGTGCAAGGGTGGAGGAGGCGCGACTTCCGTAGAACAGAAATGCGTGAGGACGACTCGCGCCGAGACCCTACCTATTGATCACGGCGACGCCCTTCTTCATTTCCGACCGCTCTTTCATTTTTTAATGCTCCGCTGCCATCGCAATTCCTTTTGAAGGTAAGAGTAGGATGATATAGAGGAAGAGTTGATGCTAACTAAAGAAAGGTATTCCAACTACCTCATGCTCCGCCTTATGCACGTACAAGCGCAGTTCGAAGGGTTCAACATGGGACATCTCGTGATCGATCATGTTTTTTTTCTGATTTTTCGTCCTTTTTTGTTTCTCGCCAGCATGTCATTAGTATATGAGCAGCACAACTCACCGTTGTTATACGCGGAGCGTGATCCGGGCAGTTCAGTAGGCGGTCGGCGTCGAGGGACGTGGCTGCAGCAACGACCGCGTGCGCAGGAACTGTTGGCGACAATCAGCTGTCTCCAGCTTATTTTAGCCATTTTCTCCTGATTTACGCTGTTTTGACTGTTTTTCTCAAGGTTATTCAATCTTCTCTCCACTAGGTAAATTGTGATTGGGATTTCTCTCATTTTTGCGAACAATTGGACAATAAACAAGCAAATAAACAACTACCGGGCGGAATCGTGAAAACGCTTCAACGAAATCAAAGAAAGACACAACTTACCAAAAATAGAAAAGACGGTTGAAATCAGGGAGAAAATGGCTGAACCAGGCTGGCAACAGCTGATCGTGCCGCAGCCGCGTTGCGACTTTTGACCGCCTGATCAACTGCCTGAATGACGACTGTATGAGCAGCGGTTACTTGACATCTTGAACTTTTGGTGGCGGTCCTGTTACGAAACCCTGTGACGCAGACGGATAGAGGGCAGCGGCTGCCAAAGCATCGAAACGTGCCAAAAACGTATGGCGAGCCAGGAAGCGGGATTTTTCAAGGGGAGGGGACTCCAGGGTGGGTGAGCCACTTACCATGTGTGAAAAACTGGAATATGTGAGGTCACAATGAGCACAGAATGCAACAAGGACGAGAGGGTGCAGAGAAAAAGAGATGTTCGACGCATTCAAAGGGATTAAATTCAAGTTGTCCGTAGACCATGAGCAGCACAACTCACCTTTCTGAACGTGGAGCGTGCCTTAATGTGGAATAATATAAAGTTTACGCAGATTGTGTTTTCGGACACTTTTGTTCGGAAATGCTCAATCTTGTCGACCTGGCATTCCAGTTCGAGCATTTGGATGTCAGTGGAAACAAAAACCTCAAAAAAAACTAAGAAGTTTTTTTCATAGAGCAGGGAACTCTCTGCAAAACAGTGTGAAACTCAGGGGCAAGATTTTCCACCTTTGCGCGATCTCTCGTGTGAGAAAAATACCATTACTTATGGGCCAACCCAATACATCGAAGCAGAGCACGTTCTCTTCTACATCGTCCTCATCGTGTTAGCTCACAGTGCTTTCGTGAGGCGGTTCAGGTGTTTAAGTTTGTACAGCAGACCCATTTTGAGTTATCATCTTCGTTCAAGATGGTAGCAGAGGACATCATCTCCCAGAGGTACGATGATATCGTCAAGAGCCCGTCAGATCAGAGAGAGGTTCGTACTCTTCTCATTCAGATTTTTATAGATTCAGGAATCACAGTGACGTAGCCCCTCTTTCTGAAGAAGGAGATTCCGAAAGGCACGGATCAAATTTAAATAGCGCTGCGAACGATCGTACCGCTTGAGGAGGGGGGGGGTGGGCGTATTGACATCACTCTACCCATCCCGATGCTCTACCCTTCCTATCAAAGGAATTCTTTCCTTATATCGGGCGGTTCAGTAGTTACACGGCCGACGAGCCTCGTGTCTGTTCTGGGGGTGCAAGTGGATCAGAAGAAGAAACGCTTTCTACCCCTTGTACATTCCAAAGCTGATCTGGGGGTTAGGTCAGGCAAATTCTAGAACCTCTCTCATTAACAAGCTCTTGCTTCGCGAACGACGCTTTCTCATTAGCGAGCTCTTGCTCCGTACGACGCTAGAAGGAACAGAGCGCCAATGAAGAATGTGGGACAGTCGCTGTGACTCCGCGCATTCGATCGGCGTGGAGTGCCTCTTGAACATCAGCGTGATTTTCGGCTAAAAGTGAACAATGCAATATCTTGCAGTATCGGGGACTTGAACTCACAAATGGCCTCCGAGTACTACTGGTATCGGATCCCACTACAGATAAATCTGCCGCTGCAATGGATGTTAATGTCGGTGGGCCACTATTACTTGACATTCAAGTGGAATGCACTGCTTTTTGATACTGAAGAAACACTTTCAAACTTTGAATATCTTTCGAAGGCATAAGTATTCTGTAGTGATCTAATCCAGGAAGTCTCATGGATCCGTGGGAGTTGCAAGGGCTGGCGCACTTCTGCGAGCACATGCTGTTTCTTGGTACTGATAAATATCCGAAAGAGAACGAACTTCGACAGTGTAAGTCATGTAAACTAAAGTTGGATCAGGTAGGAGTTATAGGCACCATTCCCACATTTTCAATCTCATCTTTTTCTCATTTAATGGGTTACGCAGTGTCCCGATCACGAAAATAACACTCATCTTCGTCGTCGACGCCGTTTGTCCCCAAGTGGTGGTGCTAGCAGCATTTTCATTAAAACTGATACGAACTGGCAAATCGGGGTTATTTCGCTTACAGATTATAAAGTCAGAATTATTTTGCCACCGAGGCATTGTCAGAATGATGCCCTTGCAATCTGGCCCTACCACCTTTTTGCACGAAAATTGGAATAAACTGGCACACAGGGGAAATTTGATGTCCTGATCACGATGTAACATCCATTTTCTATTCAGAGCACCGTCTGGTAGCGATAGGTGTTAACTTGGTGTAACCATCGCGTTCCACCAAATGTGAAAAAGCATCATACTGGGTTCATTTGTCATCCTCCTTACGGATAGGACATTCAGTTCCTCCGCCAGCAGTAAGGACATCACCTTTTTAGTCCAGCTGAGACTGAGCCCAGTGGGAGGGATCAGGTTCAGCCTCAACAGAGCGATGATTAGCGCTGGTGCCTTAAAATGAATAGAATTCTAGAAATCTGGCCTTCATCGGAATTTGGTCAAAAATTTCGTGGGAGGTGCATGTTGGCGCCGGCGCGGAAGTTGAGTTTGTATTTATAATTGGAATAGCCTTAGTTCGTATATCAGTTTTGAAGGAGGTGATGTGGCAAAACTTACTTGCGCCAGCTCCATGCTGGCGTCAAACGGCGGTAAGAATGCATGCCGACTTTGCAACTCAGGAATAGTGGCGCCCAAAAATAACGGTATCATGGGAGTTCATGTCATAGAGGAAAATGAAACGCCTAGCTAGCACGTGCTCCTATTCGTGATCAGCCCTGATATTCCCCGCAGCTGAGGTTTCGACGAGAACTGCTTAGGATTCTGGAGTAGTTTATGCTCTAATTTTTGAACGTTTAAGTTCATTCTCGGGAACGGTGGAAAGCGGAACGCTGAAACAAAATCAGACCACACGAATTACTATTTCGATATAAAGCCGGACGCAATGAAGGTGGGCTTTTCCTCGATTCCTTGTACGTATTCTTATGCAGAAACCGGTCCAATTAAGCGGTTCTGTATCTGTAACACTGCAAAAATCAATTTGGAATGGTTTCCGTTTTTTCGCTTGTCGCACATGAACAGCACATTTCGTCACTCTCCGCTTTGAACGTAAAGGCAGCGCAGTGGTCAGAGGAGCCGGGCGCTCGGTAACCCTACATGAAAGCTCAGAGAAAACGAGGTAACGACTGAGACCTCTTAAATTCCCAGTATTGCATAATCACGGGAACAAGAGCGATTGCGCGTGTAAGAACGAGAACGGGTGGCTTGTAAGCACACACTGTGTCACCTGCACGTTTGCAACATCTCGGTATGTACCTCACGGGCCCGAGTGAATAATTTTTATAGCCTGTATTCTGCGCACTTTCGAGTCGCGAACTTCGTTTATTGTGATTTTTACCCACCTACTGAACGACTATGAACGCTTGGCATTATGAAACGACTGTTTCATAATGCCAAGCGAAGTGTGCCTCGAAGGGTACAGACCTGAAGAAAGATTCCCTAACTTGTCCATTCAGGGAGGCACTCGACCGCTTCGCGCAGTTCTTTCTGACTCCGAAATTCACCTGCCAGCATGACCGGAAAGAGAGGTATGGATCATAGAGTTCGAAGGAAATGTTTGTGAAACTGCTTCTATAATTGATAACGCTGCAATCAGTCGGGATGATTTCAGCGATCACCTTTCTAAGAATGGTCACCCGCCTCCGGTTGACTTCTTCTGCCAGTAGTGATCGCTCAGTAGTAGAGATGGGAAGGAAACAACAGTGGCGGGAACACCGCGGGTGAGCTGACGCTACGCCTCATGTCTCGGCCGCAAGTGATTGCAAAAATACAAGTGCACAATTTGGTCAAGCGAGCTGTATCTATCAGTTACGTAGCGTTCAGACTTCCCGATGACCCACGACGACGACTCCCATCCGATAGACGCGAACACAGCCATTGAAGAATTGATGAGGCCAACTGCGCGCCCCGGCGACCAGACCAGGCTGGGTCACGATCACCGTCCGATTCCACAAACTGTCTTGATATCCAAGCAATGCCAATCGATTCTTATCTGTGGCTACGTTGGCATCAGTAGGACTGAAGCGCTGTCGTAATTGCCGCGCGTTGCGGCGTTTCAAAAATCTAAACGTTACCCTACGAATGAGCCGGTGCATTAGTCTTCACGAGTTCAGTCTAATACTAACTGGTCATATGAATCGACCCTCTCTGAACGTTCTCCCCAAAATTGGAGTGGTAGAAAGCCGGTATTGACGCAATAGCACCAGTATTAAGAGCTGATCTTAATCGCAATGGGTACGGTAAGCTGCAATTTGTGCATACCCTGGAGATGGGATAGACGTGAAGCACACTGTGTTCAGACGTCGCCTGCGACGAGTTGTCGCGAAATATTTCCATCTGAAGCTACTGTCATCATGACCATAGCTTATGACAATTTTCTATGAACTGCAATATCATATCCAAAACGTGGCCAGTTCCACGTTTAAATGACTTATGGAGCCACACTTGCCACATCTCCGGGTTACGGAGTGTATCATGGGCAGCTGGCCACCACGTCGCGAAGCCTACGTGCAGCTCGTGAGCTACTTTTATGAGCGCTTTTATTCAGGTACGCGCTGTTGACTCAGAATATGCGCAGACACTCAATGACGACGGTATTCGATTAGGTCAAGTGATTCGGTAAGTCATGTAGCAGCACTCATACTACTTCGAATGGGTTGAACAGAGGGAAGAGAAAAATGTCGTAATCTAGTGCAGACTAGAAACAACACAACAAATTCATCATTTTACGGCTGTACTGTCAAAAGCGCACTTCACGCTGGTCGTGTGCGCAGAGCTGAGCGTACCATTGTGCTTTCTTCATGATCGCGGTCCTCCTCAATGCTAGGAAGCGCCAATGGTTACACTAGTTCGACCTACCATCAGCGTGAAATGCGGCTGCCTCGTCTTTCAATACATTAGCTGCTTTCAGTTATCTCTCGAAGCCAGGTCACGATTTCGGGAAATTTTCAACAGGAAATAAGGTTGGTCAGAAATGATTCACACGGAAAATAGAAGCTTTCCCATTTCTTAGCTTCCTTGTACAGCTCCCTTTCAGAAAACACTACTGGACGATCCACAGGAGAAAGGTATTCATCCTCGTGAGGCATTGCTCGATTTTCACAAAAAGTGGTACAGTTCTAACATGTGAGTAATCTCATCTTGTCTTAATACTGACGTATAAAATCAGATGAAGACACACTCCATGCTGGTGGTACGGGCGTGGCCGGGACCTAACACTGTACCCTGCCCGTTGATGTGCCATCCTCTTCACTGTCTTCGGAATAGAGGGCATCACCGAGAAAAGCGGAACGGTGGGCCCGACTCCGCCCATACGCCAAAATACTCTCGACTTGATCTTATCTTTGGCTTCTCATAGTATGTCGTTATGTATTGTTGACTCGGAACCACTGGATGTCATGGAGTCCATCCTGGCAGATTTGGACTTTGGAGCGATTGAAAACAAGGGTGTGGAACGAAAAGAGTGGGAAAGTCCATACGGCGAGGAGCAACTGCGTAAACGTATTGAGGTGAGTGAATTCTAACAATCTTTTCTGCATGCTTTCATTTCGTCCCTACAGTGAATTTCTCATCCGACGATGGGGCGCTCCTTGCGTCCACGTTGGCAAGCGGTCCGACGCCGTCGCGATCGGTAATGGCTGTTACGCCCATTAACGCTGATTTCTGTTATTTTCAGCTTCTAAAAGCTGGAATTCATTCTTCGTTCAGCTCTCTCTCTCT